AAGAGAGCTTTGATAGCCCTTTAATCGGCATAGATCAAGCGGGCTGTGAGAGGGAGAAGATGTATAATTTGTCACAGCTGTTCCTCTAGCTTTTTGTCACTTAAGAAGAAGGTAGTAGAAGAGAAGAGTCAAAAGTTACTGTATCAATTCACCCGTTTCTGGGTGAAGTGGAGCAAAAAAATTGGTTCACCCATTTTTGGGTGAACCAGAACGAGCGGAGTATGGTCAATTTGCCAGACCCACCCGTAGGCACGGAGGGTGTGGTCTGGCTACACGAGACTATCCCTGCCTGCCTTAAAAAGCTGTTGTTACCAATATGGCTTGTACAGTTACATGTGTGCTGACACTAGATATACAGGGCCTATGCTTATTATCTAACACAACTGGGCTTACCACTACATACTGGAAGGTATTGGTTTCTTTTCTCCTGGCACTATAAACTTGACATGTGCTTGACCATGTGCTTTAGGTGATTATTATTTATTAGGTGATATTATTAATTAAGGCTGGGTTTTGGTTTGGCACTTAATGAATTATTTATGCATTGACATGTACATGTAAAACATATGCTCAGAGGGGGGGGGAGAGAGAGAGAGAGAGAGAGAGAGAGAGAGAGAGAGAGAGAGAGAGAGAGAGAGAGAGAGAGCAAAATTAAAAGATTATTAATAGATATTGTCCAGTAGGAGAGAGAAATATGTACAATACATGTACATGTATATTGATATTATTGGTATATTATAAACTCTGTGATACAATCAAGGATTGTATCACAAAGCTTTGCGGCAAAGCTTTACCCTCCAAAGGACAGTGAAGGAGAGAGGGAGGGCTGGAGGGAGGAGGTCGTTACTAATTATAGAGTACATTCTGGTATTATGAGACGGTTTGTATTATGGGACACTGCCTGTAATTTCAATGATAAAATTTGAAAATTTAAAAATCTTAAGTGTCTCATAATTGGTGCATGTACTCTATACATAATTCATCTTTATCTCAATATTCTTAACCTTTCCTTTATATTCTAGTACAGGG